ATTATATTGTGACAGCGCATTCAGTATCATATCCCAACTAGCTGTGTTGAAGGCATTCCTTACATCCAGGGTTGCGATGATGCAGTATTCCTTCGTTGTTGACCGGGCCTTCCGGAAACCAAATTGGTTTGGTGACAGGCCTCCGGCGCTTGCAATCGCAGTCTCCAGCCTAGAGCAGATCAGTTTCTCAAACACCTTTCCCATGGTGTCTAAGAGACAGATCGGTCTGTACGAAGATGGCTCATCCGGTGGTTTGCCAGCCTTGGGTAGCAATACCAGATTCTGGGCTTTCCATTTTGCCGGGAACGTCTCTTGGATGAGGCATTCGTTAAATAATTCGGCGAACGTACTTGGGTGCAAGGCGAGGGCTAGCTTTAGCGCGCGATTTGGGATCCCGTCCGGCCCTGGAGCTGTGTTGGTTCTAGGACCCCGGAGAACTACTGATATTTCTTCCTCTGTAATTAAAACAATTTCAGTGCTCGTTGAGCCCTGATCAGCAGACTCGGACTCAGGGGCGTGAATGGAGCTTAACCTTTCTGGAAAGAGTGTTTCCACAATCGATTTAAGCTCCAGACGATCCGTAGGCTGCACCTGTCTACCTGCGTATAGTCTTTTAACTACTATCTTATATGCCCTGCCCCAAGGGTCATATTCGGCTGAGTCGCACAACTGTAAAAAACATTCTCTTTTGCTTGCCCGAATGGCCTTCTTCAGCTGTCTTCTAGCTGCCTGGTAAGCTAACTGTTTCTCAAAAAACGTTGACCTACCGCGAGCCCGTTGGTAGCTTCTTCTCGCCTGGATGCATTTGCGACGAATGTCACCTATTTGCGTGTTCCACCAATACGTAGGATCATGTTGTCGCGTGAACTGCTTGCGACGTAACATGCTGCTATTGCAGGCACACTGTATTTGGGCTACCATTTGGCATGCTCTGGCCTCAGCATTGCCAATTGTACCTAGAGACTGAATGGCCTCTGAAAAGACCGCGGGATCAAAAGTATCTAGCCGATACGACTCCCTCCACAATGTTGACGCCCTGGCAGGTGGCTCACCTATTGTGAACAGAAGTGCCGTATGATCGCTGCCTGTATAGCTATCGCAATGGCTCCATGTTGCTCCCCGAAAGAGGGATGAAGTGACAAAAGTAATGTCGATAACAGACCCGTATTCCGCCCGACTGAAGGTGTACTCATGGCCAGTGTTGAGCAGTGCAACATCTAGTGTCGCGAAGATCTCCAGTAGGATACGACCTCTGGCATTTGTTGTTGGGCTACCCCATTCTAGCGCCCAGGAGTTAAAATCTCCAGCTATAATGGCCTTCCGACCCCTAGCATCCTCGGCAAGCTCGTCGAGCACCGTCGTGAATTCACTGAGCTGCATGCTGGGGGCCAGATAGCAACTGTAAAGCCACAAGCTACCATATCGGCCACGTACGAACCCATTGAATGACTTAACATTCGAAAGTAAGTTCGTTGAGTTGCCGCATACCCACAACGCAGCTTTGCCATTAACGTCTGTTGACCATGTCCTAGGGCAGCTGGTTCTACAGTGGTGAGGCTCACTGAGAAAAGCTACATCTATACATTTTTCCCTAATGGTCTGCTCTAGAAGATCTTGGGCAGCAACACAATGATTTAAGTTAAGCTGCAAAAACCTTAACATTTCATTTTACGAGCAGCTTCACGGTAAGATGGGCACTTGAAGCTGCCTGCTGAATGGTCCGTCTGCTTTTCACCTTTCCGGATGCAGAGGCTACATTTTGGTGGCTTGGTGCATGCTTTGGCACTGTGACCCATTTCTCCACACCTGAAACAGGCGCCCTTTAAGTCACAGTCGCTGCCGCAGTTTGCTGCCATATGACCGTAATCGAGGCACTTGAAACAGCGTTTAGGCTGCTCCACGGCTCGGATACGGCAAACTACCCATCCTATTCTAATTTTGGACAGCTCGAGCAGAGTTTTAGCTTTCCCAATTGGAAGAGCAACCGTAGCTCTTTGCTGTCCACCAAAAGCTGGCCGAAGCGATTTGATAGCCTCAATGGGGAGTGAGCTATCCTTCAACTCCACCCTAATTGCCTCCAAGATCTCCTCTTTGGTCGCTAACTCATCTAGATCGCGAATCTCAACTTGCGCCGATTCGGTAAGTGTTTTAACTACCGCTCGGTCTCCCAAGGCCTTGCCTACAGCTTCGTGCAGAGCCTCAGCGCTATGCTCCGGCTTCCTACTCAGTTGCAGTAAAAGGTCCCCCTTAGCTGTCTTCCTAATGCCTTGAACGTCGCTGCTCAGATGCTTCAAATTTGGGTCGTTTTTAACTACACGAAGCATGTCCGCGTAGCTGCAGCCCCCTACGCCTGAAATCGCAATCGCGTCAGTCCTGGGACGTTTTTGCATAGGCTTTCGCCCTTTGACGACTGTCCAGCTGCTCTGGTTTGTTTGTCGGGCGGCCTGGTTTGAAGTTTCAGATTCAGCTGTAGCCCGTAGAGCCATTGGTTCTTTTGGGTTCGCTGCACTTCTATTGGGCCTCGGCTTTTTTGAGGGAGTTTTCCTCTGTTCGGAGGCAACTTCCCTCGACCGCTTGGGAGTATTGCTACCTACTGTAGCACTAATGCTCGCTGCCTTAACGTTTTCGCCTACTTTTTTGAGTGGCGTGGTCTGCACCTCACAGTTTTTAACCGAACGGTTGCAGAACGCTTCGGCCGTCTTGTGAAGGCTGACCAGCCTAGCCAGCTCCTCTCTCATTAAGGCATTTATATGCCGCTGACCCCCAAATAAGGCAGACAGACCCTCTAGTGTAGCTCCTATTTGGGCTAACGCTTCTTTTAGTGACTTGGGTGCCTGGCACTCAGCCACTGGAGCCTGGTTAGAAGTCGACGGCTGCGCCAACACCCTCTGTTGTTGCTGCGGCGATCGCTGCAACGAGGAACGACGCGCAAAAGCTTGCAGCTCGTCCTCCATTATGGCTTCCATTTCTGCTCCGACTACCACGGCGTGAAGCCTGTAGTGGGCAATGGCTACTAATATAATCTGAGTTTACAACCCGCAGTAACTTAAACTCAACTTGACTACAGCGAGAGCCCGAAAGTATGCACTACTTTTAATAACTGCTACTTCACTCCAGCAGCTAGGTTGCTGTCTTTGCTAAGGCTTAGCAACTCACCAACGTTAGTGAGCAGCTGATTGCCCGATGCAATTTCCAGCACTACTAACAGCTGTTAGAGTGAATGCACCTCTCTTGCACCACCGAATTATACCGCTTGGGAATTCCACGAACCGCCGCGCAGTAAGTCTTTTGAGGTCGCTGGGTACGCCGCGCCCACAGCAAACACGTTGACTTCAGTTCTTTCCACTTTCACAGGGGAAAACACAGTTCAAGCTATTGTCTACGATGGACCACGATGACATCGACCGCACTCCGTGAAAACGCAACTCGAACTCGTGTGCGTACGTGCGTGTGTGTGTGTGTGTGTGCGTGTTTCTTGTTTAAGCTGAAAGTCGCGAAAAAGTATTGAAATATCTATTGCTCCAAGGGTTCAGGGGATCTCGTAGTCGAGCAGTCTCGACTAGAGCTTTCTTACTTGTTTATACCCTGAACCCATTTTCAATGGAAAATCAGGGTATAATGATTTTGTTGAAATGTATGTAACAGTCAGAAGGAGGCGTTGCAGACCCCATAAAGTATATATATTCTTGATCAGGGCGACGAGCTGAGTTGATTTGGCCCTGTCCGTCTGTCTGTCCGTCCGTCTGTCCGTCTGTCGGTATGTATGAACGCGTCGATTTCAGAAGATATAAGAGCTAGAGACTTCAAATTTTTTTTTTTAAATGTCCGTAATTACAGGGCGAATATCAAGTTTATCATTAAAAATCGATAATAAAAACCTTATCGAAAAAAAAACCTTATCGAAAACCAGCTATAAAACTATATCTTCTACACCTTTATTGCTAGAGTCTCCAAATTTTTAATGTATGCTTATATGCAATTTAGACAATTCCGGTTTTTGTTAAAATTTACCCCCCACCTCTAAATTCACTCCCTCACCCTCACTTTTGTAAAAAGCGTATTTCAAATACTAGAGACTTGTGCTTTGGCAATTACATGCATATCCATGTTATAATCATAATCTAAAAGTTTCATGAAGATCGTACGTCCACAAAAAAAGTTATTAAAACATTAAGTTCTCATAGTAAGCGCACACTGCAGCCCATGCGTGTTTATGCGTGGGTGCTTGTGTGGGTATGTGTTTGTGTAGGTGTGTGTGTGTATGCGTGTGTGTGTATGTGTATGTGTGTGTGTATGCGTGTATGTGTATGTGTGTGTGTATGCGTGTGTGTATGCGTGTGTGTGTATGCGTGTGTGTATGTATGTCTGTGTGTGCGTACGTGCGTGTGTGTGTGTGTGTGTGTGTGCGTGTTTCTTGTGTAAGCTGAAAGACGCGAAAAATTATTGAAATATCTATTACTCCAAGGATTCAGGGGATCTCGTAGTCGAGCAGTCTCGACTAGAGCTTTCTTACTTGTTTATGTATACTTATATGCATTTTATACAATTTCGATTTTTGTCCAAATTTATACCCCCCCCTCTAATTCACCCCCTTAACCTCACATTTATAAAAGGCGTATTTCAAATCCTAGGAGCTTGTGCTTTGGCAAATACATACATATTTATGTTATATTCATAATCTGAAAGTTTCATGAAGATAGTCCATCTACAAGAAATGTTATTATATGTTATTAAACAATTAATGCCAATGCGTGCTTATGCATGCCTACGTATATCTGTGTGTGTGCGTGAATGTGTGCATATGCCAGTAATTATTGAAATATCAGTTGCTCGATGGGTTCAGGGGATCTAGTAGTCGGGCAGTCTCGACTAGAACTTTCTTACTTGTTATTAATGGAAATAAATAATTTAATATAAATATAATATATAATAATATATAATATATATTAATTGATTTTAAAACTTATATACATATATAAATGTTCTTTGTTTATCCAAAGGCCATCATTGACTCACCAGACAAGCAGTTAACATTAAACGAGATATATAATTGGTTTCAAAACACATTTTGTTATTTCCGGAGAAATGCAGCCACTTGGAAGGTACATACAATAAAATATTGTAATATCTGTAAATATAAAACAAAGTAGTGTTATGTGTTACATCACTTATAACTCGAGACAAATTTTCATGTTTTTTGATTTGTTGGATTTGTCTCCGCCCCGATTTGAAGAGTATATCTTATAAAATACTAAAAAACGTTATTTTCCCTATTGCTATTGAGGATCTTTGCATTTTCATTGAGACTCAGTAGATTTGATAACAGTGTCAGTTTTCGGTCATGCTCTCATAGGTTGTCTATGATTCATCAAAGCCTAAATTAGTTCAGCTAAGAGGTAACACGACATTCTTTGACTATTAGGCGGTACGAAGTTCGCCGGGTCAACTAGCAGTTTTAATAAAAACCATATTGTATAGAATAAAAAGATTTTGTAATTTTATACCCTGAAACCATTGAATATGTGAAATTAGGGTATATTGTCATTGTGAAAATGTATTTAACAGGCAGAGCATATATGTATATATTCTTGATCAGGGCGACGAGCTGATTTGATATAGCCATGGCCGTTTGTCCGTCCGTCTGTCCGTATAAACATGGAGATCTCAGAATATCTTTGAGCTAAAGCTTTGAAATTTTGCTGTATATTTGTGTATTATACGCAGCACGAGTTTATTATATTAAATTAAATAAATAAATAATAAAACAATAAATAATAAAAAAATTTTAAAAATGATATTATTAATTTGAAAATTGTCCGACCTAGAGACTTTAGATTTACTAGGTCCATGAGCTGAATACAAAATATTGAAGAAATTTGAAAAAGTGTGTTTCACATAGCAGCGACTTGTGCTTTGGCAAAAATACACATTTGAGTGTAAATTTGATTAAGATAGTCCATCTTCAAACATTAATTGAACAAATAAATCCTTATAATATAGACCACACTGTAGACTAAAACCAGTCGCTGCCCTAAACTAATTTTAATTCAAATTTAACTAAATAATTAATTGATTTAACTTAACCATATAAATAACTTTAGAATGCAGTACGTCACAATCTGTCTCTGCATAAATGCTTCATGCGTGTTGAGAATGTAAAAGGCGCTGTATGGACTGTAGATGAAATAGAATTCTATAAAAGACGGCCACAACGTACAACGGCTGCTGCTAGTAATTTAGCAGGAGTGAAAAATTCAATGGATAATAATTTTTATATAGCTTTAAACTTTGGGTATGTGGGACATTCGTAACTTTTCATCATATATGCTTTTCTCTAGTTAATAATTTTTCTATAAATTGCACAGTATAAACATATTCAAATATACATGTACATATATACATTTAAAAAAAAAAAAAAGCTCTACTCCAATCAAGCGCATTATTTTATTCTTATCAATTTGATTAGTGATGTTTGATTGCATTGTAGTACAATGAATGTAAACAAATACTAAGTTCATTACTACATATTTATGTATTATATACCCTAAACTCATTGAAAATGGGAATGGTGCAATTGTCCGATCGTCTGTACAAGCATATAGATCTCTTAAGCTACAAATGCTCGTTCACTCTGTGCACCATACGCATAAAGAGCTTATCAAAAAATCAGTTTTTAGAGCGCACTCCAGCCTAAGGCAGCTTATGCGTTTATTTTGATGGACGTGTGCATGTGTTTGTATATGTGGTTATAAAAGAAATGTGCTTACAATATCAGTTCATTGATGTGTTCAGGAAATCTCATAGTCAAACAGTCTCGACTGCAGCTTTCATACGTATTTATAATAAAAGTGGTTAAAAACTACCATTACATAATATTTTCTGAAAGCTTGAGAAGAAAAATATAAGATAAAACTACACCCATTACAAGATTAAATCCATTAACCCATTGAAATTGGGAAGTCCAGATATGTTTTTGTGAAAATGTATGTAACAGTCAGAGGGAGGCATGGAACACCCTATAAAGTATGCATATATATGTGGGATTCCTAAAAGCACTAACCAGAGAACACATATACTAGACATCTAGAACAAATTTTTTCAACGACGAAAAAATGCGCTGAAGAGATCAGACAACTTCGTATTTGCTCGGCTCGGTCTTTTGAGGCTCAAGCAGTGAAAGTAAGGCACGAAATGCACACGTTCCCAAATGATGTACGGTTATGCGCTCTTTTTCCCTTACTCACTCTCTCCCTCTCTTTATGCTCACTATCCCTATGGTCTCTCAAATAGCAGCAGCGCACAGACATTGAAAATTGTTCGCGACGATCCCAGCTCTTTCCTTTTGAGTGAAGGGTATACCGAAATCATAAAAGCGTTTGTCACGCTCATGCAAACAAAATGTAAGCGTTTTGATGGTTATTCGTGGGAAGGGTATGAAAGCATTGATGCGCATAAAGAATATGATTTCGCGACAGGCAAGCACACACACACTTGCAGTCTCTGGAAACATGTGTGAGCATTTGTGGCCTGTGTACGCAACTCTTGCTGCCTGTGTAAATTGTCAAGCCCAAAATTTACCGTTGGTCGGTCTCGTGAACTGAGCACATACAAATGCATATGGATGGGATGATAATTACTGGCGATTCAGTAGTTTTTATACCCTGAACCCATTTTCAATGGGAAATCAGGGTATAATGGTTTTGTTGAAATGTATGTAACAGGCAGAAGTAGGCGTGGCAGACCCCACAAAGTATATATATTTTCTTGATCAGGGCGACGAGCTGAGTTGATTTGGCCCTGTCCGTCTGTCTGTCCGTCTGTCCGTCCGTCCGTCTGTCCGTCTGTCCGTATGTATGAACGCGTCGATTTCAGAAGATATAAGAGCTAGAGACTTTAAATTTTTTTTTAAATGTCCGTAATTACAGCGCGCATATCAAGTTTATCATTAAAAATCGATAACTCATCCCGATCTTTTTTTTATCGATAAAAACCCTTATCGAAAAACAGTTATAAAAATAAATCTTCTACACCTTTATTGCTAGAGTCTCCAAATTTTTAATGTATGCTTATATGCAATTTATACAATTTCGGTTTTTGTTAAAATGTACCCCCACCTCTAAATACACCCCCCACCCTCACTTTTGTAAAAAGCGTATTTCAAATACTAGAGACTTGTGCTTTAGCAATTACATGCATATTCATGATATAATCATAATCTTAAAGTTTCATGAAGATCGTACGTCCATAAAAAAAGTTATTAAAGAATTAAGTTCTCATAGTAAACGCATACTGCAGCCCATGCGTGTTTATGCGTGGGTGCTTGTGTGTGTATGTGTTTGTGTATGTGTGTGTATGTGTGTGTATGTGTTTGTGTATGTGTATGTATGTGTTTGTGTATGTGAGTGTGTGTATGCGTTTGTGTCTGTATGCGTGTGTGTGTATGTATGCCTGTGTGTGCGTACGTCCGTGTGTGTGTGTGTGCGTGTTTCTTGTGTAAGCTGAAAGACGCGAAAAATTATTGAAATATCTATTGCTCCAAGGGTTCAGGGGATCTCGTAGTCGAGCAGTCTCGACTAGAGCTTTCTTACTTGTTTTTCGAGCATTAGTTCCCAGACCACTTCGTATTTGCTGGGCTCCTCACTTTTAGGTGCGGGCTACGAAAATATGGGAACGCGCATATCAAGTTTTTTTCTTTATATCGATAACTACTCCCGATATTTTATTATCGATTAAAAACCTTATCGAAAGCTAGGTATTTAATTATATCTTCTACACCTTTAGAGCTAGAGCTTCCAAATTTTAAATGTATACTTATATGCATTTTATATAATATTGATTTTTTTTGTAAATTTACCCCCACTTCTATATCAACCCCCTCACCCTCACCTTTGTAAAAGGCGTACTTCAAGTACTAGAGACTTGTGCTTTGGAATGTACATACATTTGAAGATTATAATTATATTCTGAAAGTTTTATTAAGATTGTACGTCTAGGAATTAAATTATTCAACAAAAAAATTCTTAAAATATTGCCCACAATGCAGCGCAGCCCAAGCGCAATCGCTGCTTATTGCGCAGTTAGCAGAGCGCGTTCTGATACGTTCGTGTGTATGTATGTGTGTCTAAAATAAGTGCAGAGTGATTAGAATTTCAGATTGGAGGGTTCGGGGTATCTCCTAGTCGAGCAGTCTCGACTAGAGTCTTCTTACTTGTTTAATTTTGTATGGTTTGATTTGTAGAGTGACTGTCAAATGAGCCTTTATGACTTAATCAGTAATTTTGGCAATAAAGATCATTTTGCCGCTGGTTGCTTGGTCTTACGGACTGCCATATCCAATTCACACAGATGTATATGTACATACATATTTACGTACATTTATATACTATTATATCTAATCATGTTTATAAATGCGTGTATTGATAAAAACTATTATTGTATATAATTATAATTACATATTTTATTCAAATTTAGACCGAACAAATTTGATCGGGGTACACTAATAAGTTTATTAAATGCTTTGCAATATATTGGCTAGTGGACCATAAAAACTTCAAGTGGAAATGAAATACACATGTCGAAATGATACATATTTATTGCCAAAATTACTGATTAAGTCATAAAGGCTCATTTGACTTTCACTCTACAAATCAAACCATACAAATTTAAAAAACTACTGAATCGCCAGACAATTATCATCCCATCCATATGCATATGTATGTGCTCAGTTCACAAGACCGACCAACGGTAAATTTTGGGCTTGACAATTTGCACAGGCAGCAAGAGTTGCGTACACAGGCCACAAATGCTCACACATGTTTCCAGAGACTGCAAGTGTGTGTGTGCTTGCCTGTCGCGAAATCATATTCTTTATGCGCATCAACGCTTTCATACCCTTCCCACGAATAACCATCAAAACGCTTACATTTTGTTTGCATGGGCGTGACAAACGCTTTTATGATTTTGGTATACCCCTCACTCAAAAGGATAGAGCTGGGATCGTCGCGAACAATTTTCAATGTCTGTGCGCTGCTGCTCTTTGAGAGACCATAGAGATAGAGAGCATAAAGAGAGGGAGAGAGTGAGTAAGGGAAAAAGAGCGCAT